ATCAGCATGAAGTTTCTCCTGGAATGACTGGAGAGGAGACTTACTTCCTGTCCACAGTGAAGTTTGCTTGCTCTCCCCGTCCTTTCTCCTTTGTATGCTGGGTTCTCACTTTATACACTAGCGCCTTCGAATCTGTTTAATCACAATTATCTTCCTTCAGTGAGATGTGTGTTAGGTGTGTGTTTTGTTTTATCCGTGGTGCTTACCAAAAGAAGTAGACACCAACTGGTCATGAGAGGACTGTTAAGGTCCCTACTATAATGGGCCACCAAACTGTGATTAAAAATGACAAAGTGCTCTGCTTACTGACTTGGAAGGATGTCTGAGAAGTATGTTTGGAAGAAAAACTCAGCAAAGAGCATGAAAAGTTTAGCCCCATTTATGTAAAATTTTATAAATACATACACATGTCATATAAATAGCATCAAAATGTTAACAATTGTTACTTCTGAGCAGTGGTTTTTTTTTATATTTTTCAGCATTATCTTAAGTTTTTATAGTGAGCCTAACTTTTTTTATTGTTGGGGATTCATTGAGCATAATTCTTTTTTTTTTTTTTTAGCATAATTCTTATAACAGTGAAATAGACAACGCTATTCATGTTGGAAAACAAAATTAGGATTGCCTTTATTTTTATTTGGTAGGGCTATTACTATAGACTATTGAACTTATCTCTTTTTTTTTCTTTCTCTTAAGAAACATACAAGAAATGCCTATTCCTTTTAAAGTCATTGGTTATTTTACCTTCCAAAAATATTGCAGCGAGATTCTTGTAGTCAATGAGTTCTATGGACAGAATTTCACTTGTGGTAAGTATTCTATTTTGGAATATTATTTTCACACGTTACTCTGAGACAGCAATTTTCGGAGGAAATGTATTTCTGAAATAAAAACTGTATCTTATAATAAGTCTATTTAAAACTTTGCTTTGAAATAAGAGTCCAACATTTTTTCTGTGATTTTTAAAATGAAAGAAAATAAGCAGTGGTCAAGTTAGTTTCCTGTGCGAGGTCAACAGCTTAAGACCATTTGATGTAATTATTAGAAAATGACAGCCCTGAAGTGTACTGTGGTAAAGGACAGTATATTCTGGGTAGACTCAGTTCCTATGTCTACTAAACACATCTAGGCAGGCTGAAGTGTCTTCTTGTTCCCCCAAATGAAATAGCAGATAGCCAGGTAAAGCCGCTGTTCACAGGTCTATTCGTCAGTCCCCAGGGAGGGAAGTCAGAACATGGCAAGGTCCTCAGTATTTTTTGAGGATAATGTCAATAACTTTAGGATATTCAGTGCTAAGTGATCATGAGTTTTTACCAGGAATACAGTAATTGATCTATACCCCAAATGGAAATAAACCCTTTTCAAAGGCAGCCAAGGCCCAGAACTGCTCACCCCTGTTCTACATAATTGTGAATTCTGGGCTCTCTAAAATGTCTTGTGCCATTGTTCATGAAGTGGGGTATGTAGCAGAGTGCTCGCTTAGTGAGCATTTGGTAAATATTTGTTGATTAAATTACCTGAGATGAATCATAGCTGACTTTGTTAATCTTTTCCTTGGCAGGGAGCTCAAATGATTCTGTGACACCGCATCCAATGTGTGCTTCTACTCAAGGAATTCAATTCATTGAGAAAACCTGCCCAGGCGCCACATCCAGATTCACAACAAACTTTCTGGCTTTATATGCATTTATTCCAGTTCTTGTCAGCCTAGGAATAGTTGTTTTTAAAATAAGGGATCATTTCATTAGTAGATAGTGAAAATATTTGCTGGGAAAATGGAATTTAAGCTGCTGGATGTATACGACTGCTTTGAACATCTGAAATAGGAATGCCATATATTTCTTTCTTGATAGGACATCTCTAGTCTTTTAACCATCGAGATGCCTTTTGTGTCCCTTAGATCTTGAATGCAATGGGAAGCGTTCATAGCACCTAGCTATTTCAATTTGCAGGGATATGTGGTATTTGAAAATTGTGACTGAACTGGTCCAAGAATGTAAATAATCACTCATAAATCTATGGAAAACCAGGATGACTATTTGTTTTCTTTGTTCTAAACACAGAAAAACAAGTCAGTTTAAACAATTATGCTTACTGTATTAGCAATGTTCTGCTTAGTCCACTGGGTACCTATAGATCTATTTTTGTCAGAATTCATAAAAAAAAATCTATATCCTAAAAACTATTATGTTTACATTTGATATAGAATTTGGTAAAAAGAAAATGTTTGAATAATTACTGACTGTATGTAACAGAAAAGGAGTTGTGGGTTTAATAGAAGGAATACATCATGCAGAATTGGGTAAGAAAGCCTTTGTTATCATTTGAAACCCATACTTGGCCAGGCACAGTGGCTCACACATGTAATACTCCCAACTTTGGGAGGTTGAGGCAGGAGGATTGCTTGAGGACAGCAGTTTGAGACCAGCCTGAACAAGAGTGAGACTCCTGTCTCTACAAAAAACAGAAAAACTAGCTGGGCATTGTGGCGGGTGCTTATAGTCCCAGCTACTCAGGAAGCTGAGGCAGGATCGCTTGAGCCCAAAAGTTTGAGATAGTAGTGAGCTATGATGATGCCGCTGCACTTAAGTCCAAGCAGAGAGACAAAACTAAACACAAGAAACCCATACTTACAGGTAGATGTCCACATGAGGGGGCTGAGTTACCTGACCAGACACAGAGGATGTTGGACAGATGGATAATGAACACTGTTGATACAGAGCACCCAAGGATTTTACTGAGGGTTAAAATTTTAAAAACTGTAGGAAAGGGCTGCATGGGAACACAGCACACCGGACAAACCTCTGGTGATGTTTTTAAAGATTAGTTTGCTATTTTTCACTTTCAGCTACATTTGCTTATAAAATTAAAAGTAAACATTACTAAACAAAGTGTACGCACTGAGAAATTACTTCTTTAAGGTTGGAGAGCAGATGTTATTTAAAGTCCACATAGAGGCAGCACCTATAGCTCAGTGAGTAGGGCCCTGGCCACACACATCGAGGCTGGCGGGTTCGAACCTGGCCCAGGCTGGCTAAAACAACAATGACAACTACAACCAAAAAATAGCCAGGCGTTGTGGGGGGCACCTGTAGTCCCAGCTACTTGGGAGGCTGAGGCAAGAAAATCGCTGAAGCCCAAGAGTTTGAGGTTGCTGTGAGCTGTGACTTCACAGCATTCTATGCAGGGCGATAGCTTGAGACTCTTGTCTCAACAAAAAAGGAAATAAATAAAAATAAAGAATAAAGTCCATATAGAAAAAATGCTGACACAATATTGACGCTAAATAGAACAGGGTTACACAGTAGGACTTCATGTTCTTGAACTATAAAGAGAAAGAATGCAGATAAAAATGAAGGATGAAATAATGTATATAGGTTATTAAAAATGGTTCTGAACTACAGGATTGATTATCTTTCTGATTGATCTTCAAGTAATTTAGGTACAAGTTTGAAATGGAACCATCTCAGTATTAGCCATGGTAACTTTTAATAAGAATATGGGAAGAGAGCACATGAACTCGTTCAGTTACTGTAACCTAGCCTGTAAAGAATGATAAATTATAGCATTTGAAATGTCTCACATTATAGTGGGAAAGATCATTTCATTAAGGAAACCACAGACAGTAAAATTCTATTTCTTAGAACAGTATTTAAGGGTCTGGAACACTGGTAAATTACCAGAATAGTATTGTCAATTTTTATAAAAGGTCTTTGACACTGATGATTATAGTATAATAGTTACATAATGCCTTACAGATTATATATGTCACATCAGTTATAGACAATTCTAGAGATGATAATCTATTAAAGTAGTTCAAAGAGAGTCCCACAGGAGCCTCTTTTGAAATCACTGATCTCAACTTACTAAAGATATGGGTATACAACATAAGTGGAAACATTTTCTACTATTCATATGCAGATGAATTTCATTCTAGCTCAGAAACATTTGGAAAATTGACATCGCATGTGAATTTAAGCTATTAAATGTTAGTGATAACATTTTAGAAGAACACAGTGGCTTTCAACATGTGACAGTTCGTCTTTCAAGTCAAAAATGGACAGTGATATGTACGAAAATCAAGTTATATAATAAAAACTCCTATTGCTACTGTGAACTTTCTTCTTTCTTCTCACAAAGTCACTGGTGTTTCAGAGATGACAATGTTCACTATAAATTTAAAAGGACCTCTTTCCACAGTACTCAGGCAGATAAACTATCTGTTCTTAAGATTGAGCTTCCTTGGAAACATGTTAGAACCACGTTCACTGCAAATAATTTGTGAAGTCCTATTTCACTGCAATAATTGGATATCTGCTCAGACGTCACTTATCAGCCTTCGTTTTCTTGCTGTTAGTAAATGTGCTTATTTGAAGCTGAGTGCATGGTGTATTAGAGATAAGGTATTTTATATGTGGTGATGGCAGAATGTAGAATAAATGGCAGAGATTATACTTATTCAAAATTGAACCTGGATAGCAAATATGCAAGACTAGGAAGCCTTCTTAAAGGTTATCACACCCTGAAAATCATCTTGGAGTCCTGATTATACCCTATTCATGACGTTTAAGCACAGTAGAACTGGCCAGGCACAGTGGCCACATCTATAATTCTAGATCTCCAGAAAGCCGAGGTAAGTGGATTGTTTGAACTCAAGAATTCAAGACCAGCCTGAGCAAGAGGGAGACTCCATCCCTACTAAAAGCTGAAAAACTAGCCAGGTGTGGTAGTGCACCCTTGTAGTCCCAGCTACTTGGGAGGCTGAAGCAAGAGGATTGCTCAAAACCAGGAATTTGAGGTTGCTATGAGCTATGACACCACATCTCAAAATAAATAAATAAAATAAAATAAAATGGAACCTTTATAAATTGACCGTCCAAGGGACTGTAACAAATCGGTCAACCTATGGATGTGGTCAACATATACTATACTAATACGTACACGTAGCCAACTATACTATAATATATAGTACTGTAGTGCTACAGTATAGTACTGTTTACTATACTAACATGTACATGTGGCCTATGAAAACTTAGGTCAGCTTCAGGAGA